GCGTAAGTGAGATTTAGCAACCGCGAAGGTTGAAATGTTGAAGTTATATATATATATATAATTTAAAATTCAAATCAAAGGAAGCCTGGTCATTTTAGCCCTGTTGCACACTATAAGTTGTCGCCCTCTACTCCCCGGGGAGGATACAGCTTGGCTGCCGTATTGGGCTCTTAAAACCCTGTTTCCACCCCTTAAAGATGAGTGCCAAGTGGGGAGACAGCAGGTACCGTTTATGAAGGACTGGTATGTCCTCGGGAGAGGTCGAATGCACGCCCTCCAGCTCCGGAGGCGGATACTCTAACCACAAGGCGTCGGCATGTTAAAAAGGGTCGTCTGTCAAGAAATTTCAAATGCGGAGCCCACTGGATTGAACCTAAATTTAATGAATGGCAAACCTTTGTATCCCTGCTTCAAACGCTGTGATTATGTCAAAAGGAGAATCCTTAAAAATTCGTCGCGGGAATTCAATGCACACCATCTGACGCACGAGAGATGATAATCAGTTGTGCTGGTGTAAATTGAAATAATTTGAAATATTGTTTAAAAATTTTAATGAGAAATGGGATCCATATGGCAAAGGGGATCTACCTGTACTCCAGTCCCAACCATCATGTTCATTACAAGTAAGGGTGGTGTCTTCTCCCTGCTGCGATTTTTTTACAAACGTACAGCGCACTTTATAACGCTCTGGAGTAGTGAGTATTTGCAACGTATTTAGCATCTAGGTATGTCTTCGCCGTTTTCCTTCGATGGCACGGAGCTAAGAATCACCCTCTTTTTTTAGGAAACAGGACACGGTTTTGAGATTGCTATTACCTTAGTGATAACTATTCAAAACATTCTTGATCATGATTTTTAAAACTTTTAATGAACAGTAAAGCGTCATTTTAATCTCTGACCAGTGGGCGTATTGTCTTGTAGGGGATTATAAAGCTTACATAGACTGAAGACAGGCATCTTAAAGAGTCACATTGCACGGTGTTAAAACTCTCGAAAACTTAAGTGTGCTTAACGTGACATCAAGGAAGCGGTGTGAGGCATACTGTGGTTACTTTCCCTTGCTATCAGAAAGCAAACTCATTTGTTTCTGCATGTGACATCGTAAAGTAGATGCCACTCACTTACACTGTAGACCCAAATATGTTATACATGTATCCTGAAAACAATTTTACACACACGCTTTCCTGATAGCTGGAGAAAGCGAACTACTTATGTTTCGTTAGGGTTGAAGGGAGCATGTCTGTTAAAAAGTTTACAGGGTTTCGGCAACTCGACGATCGGGACCGTAGCCTGCGTGGTGCGTGGGTGGGGTCGCCCCTCACCTGAGATTTTTGAAAAAGAACAAAATCAGTAAGCTTTATAAGGACCTTTTCCTTTTCTCCCAATCTAAATTAAGTCTCTAATCTTCCATCAGCCATGAGGGCACCCCACCAACTTTTTTTCAGCCTACGGTCCCGATGGTACTGTGTATTCAGAGTCATCTGACTGGTTTCTAAGTCTAACTATGTCATTTTATGTGCTTATTTTAGTGTGTAATCACTAGTACACAATCTCTCATGAATCTCTCTCATGATATTCTGTTTTGATATGGTTAGGATGGCTTATAGAGGTAGCAAGGATCGAGATATGGGGGAGTGGAACGACGGTTATCCTCTCGAGACCGCCCATCCAGGCCCCCCCTCTTACCCGATGACGCACTCGTACAGCAACCCTCAGCTTCAATCCCCAGGTCAGGTTCCAGGTCAAATGATAATGCAAGGTCAAGGACAATATGGTTACCCACAGGGACCTGTTCTTATGCAGCAACCACAGGTATGTGTACTATCAGTGGTATTTTTATTGCAGAAGCGTATTTTTATTTTATAAATGTCAATGAAACACGTCAAACAAAACTGAAATACCGTTATCCTTAATAATGACGCAAATAAAGGTAAAAGAAAAGCTTGTTTAAAGCAAAGGAAGATGATAATTTCTTGCTCCAGAAGTAGGGATATTTCAAAGAAAAATAAAAAAAAGGGAACGTTTCAGTCACGTAAAACAAAACTGAAATACCGTTATCTTTAATAGTGACGCAAATAAGGTAAAAGAAAAGCAGATTTAAAGCAAAGGTAGATGATAATTTCTTAATCCAGAAGTAGGGACATTTCTCAAAAAAGTGAGCGATTCAGTCCCATATACATTTGGTGTATATCTGCATAATTTTAACCTACCTCCTTATTGTCGATGTTTTATATTACGTACAGCACCCCAAACAAGGAAGGAAATCAACAGTAGTAAGAAATTGTTCATTTTTCTTTGGAATGACGTAATGTTGACGACATTCGCAGTGCGTGAAACTACACGTTTCTGTTTTCAACTGTAAAAAGGTTTTTGTGGTCGGTATACAAATGTCACTAAATGATTTTTGTTCACAGCCTATGACCGTGGTCATCCAGCAAGGTGGTCAGCAAGTTACCCCGTCCAAAAGGCAGTGGAAGTCTGGACTGTGCGGTTGTTGCAGCGACATGGGAGTGTGTAAGGAAGGAGTGCTTCTCTACAGCAATTTCGGCACGGCGGTGTCTCTGTGACCATAGCACAGATTTTAAGTCGCAAGCTGCCCTCAGCTTCTCTAAAGCAATTGCACCCGAAACAACCTTCTCTGCACAATAACTAATTTATACCAAGACACGCACAGCCTGACATTTACGTCATTTACGTTTACTCTTTTGACTTATTATTACTTAATTTGTTAATAAAAATATTGTTGGAATGGCAAGAAAGAGAAATGATTTTGTTAATGCATATATACTTAATCCAAATGTACTCATAGGTTGCGCGGTATACTGGTTGGGAAATTGGGAACCTTGCTACTTGGCCTACTTGTCAAGCAGAATGGGCGAGAGTTGCTGCGTGGGGTGCTGCGTCCCATTTGCCTTGATAACCATGAGAACAGCTATGCGAGAGAGATACAATATCCAGGTAATATAGAACGTAAGGCTCGAATATTAGGGCTCATTCCCATGGAAACTATCGGTCTACGTAGATCGATCCAATCCTTGGGGACTCTCGCTGAACTCAACCAGTTTAACAAATCAATATGCCTCCTAGCGTCGATTAGTACATGTATACAGAAAAGCTGGACCCGGTTTTATAAAGGACGTTTAGCACTAACCACCGGTTAAATCCAGCGTTTAATTTAAATGACGTTTAACTGGGTTTCATAAACGTCGTTTAGCACTAACCAATGGTTAAATCTTCTTAACGGTTGGTTAGATTTATATGCTCGAGGGAGGTAGTTTAAATTCCTTAAACGCCGGATAAAAATGGCAAACCTGCTTTTATTTCCAAATATGGTCTGGATAAGTTGTTCATAGCAACTAAACACTGGTTAATTAAATTAAACGTCCGTTAACTAACCGTCTGTTTAAACGCTGTATATAAAACGCAGTTTTACCCTCCGTTTAGTTAACCAGTGTTTAGAGAATTTATCCACTGGTTATTGCTAAACGTCCTTTATAAAACCGGACCCTGGTGATTATGCAAGTATGTTTGGAAAATGGCATTCAGCGAGATCCCGTAGACCGACAGTTGCCATGGGAATAGGTCCTAGGGCACTACTGATATCACTGAATAGAATTACATGTATATCATTCAGATGCATATATGGCTATGTAAAATTATTTTTCTCAGCTTTGATTGATTTTCATTGAAACGTGTCCTTGTCTTATTATAGGGAAGTATTTGCGATGATTGCATGGCTTCCTTGTGCTGCATGCACTGTGTCATGTGCCAGTTGCAGATAGAGATGAGTAATGTGGGCCTCTAAGCACTACCAGAATATCTCACGGATGGGTTTCGACATGGATATTGCGGAAAAATCATTTGAAGCGTCCGTTTAAAGAACAAATGCTATCTTTTTAAAAAAAGTTTACTTATTGCTTCTGCCTTGGATGTTGTAGAGAAAATTCTGTTGAAGCATCTGACTTGTAAGCAACTGCTTATGGCTTCCGTCTTGTGTATTTGCAACTTGTCGACGCACTTTTACGTTTGACTGTGCGTTCATTAGACGTCACAATGGCATTTCAACATTAAAAATAAATCCTGAGTCAACCGTTTAATTTACCGATTAGGGGTTACGTCATCCCATATACGTTAATTGCGCTTATGTATTACAAAACAGGTTTACACATCCCCCTTTTGATAAAACATTGCATTAAAAGTATTTGTGTATTAAGTGCTGCAAAAATTTACCAGTTAAGTATATATGTTGTTTTGGTCTGCAAGACATGTGCAGCTCATAGATTAAATGTTTTCCAATGAAATGACATTTGAATTAAAGTACACTATTTCAAATAGCAGTCATTTTGTGATAGCTTTACATTTGTATGTCTCAGTCATAATAAATTAATTGTTTTAAAATAGAAATATGCAGTTTGTTACTATATGACACAGTCATTTTCTAATTTGTAAAAAATTTAAAACTCATAAAGTATAACCAAGGGATTACACGTCCAATCAATCAAAAGCCCTAGAACCTATACATAAAGAGTGTATCGTTAATGCGTTCATCTCTTGAATATGGGTGCATCCCTACAGTCGGATAACTCCACTGAACCTATTCCGCGCAGAGTCGCCACATTTATCTTTGCAAGATTTCAAATCAATATTTAATTGTTATTGTTTCTTTTTTAGAAATTAATGCAAAATTTTGTCTCCCTTGTTTAACCCACGACAGTAAATGTGGCCTTTTTTGTGTTGCCCCAGGAGATGCATGATTTACTTACACAAAGTTAAAGAAGGATGCCCAGCAATTTAAATGCAAAATATATTTGATACATTGGGAGAAATAGCGCTGGCCAAGAGTAAAATATCGAGTTCGATGTTTATCCCTCAGCATTGGTTCTAAATTTGTTGTGAACGTGCTCTTTATTTAACTAATGGGTACCCAAATGACATTAAGATGTATCAGTCACCTGTATTTTTTTCTCAAGACTATCCATCATTACAAAGAGACATCGTCAGTTACTTCGGTTTAAGATTCCCGGAAAGTGTAACGACCCAGGATGCCAAGATAACTCCGCCCCCCCCCCTCCAATATCCATCTCACCGCAGCCCCACAGCCCTAAGCATGTTGTGGTATCCAGTTCCAACGTTGCTAAATGCGCAGTCACGATTTTCTCTGGTTGCATGGAACGATATACCCAATGGATTGACTTTAAGATGATTAGATTGACACGAATGTCATCTTTATGGGTTTTGATTAATTGTACCACGTCAATTATTCCTTTTCGCTAATCCAATCTGTATTTCCTTTCTCTAAAAAACAACACATTCACATTTCCTGGAATGAATATAAGATGTATTTTTTTTACACATAATACATCATTTCATACTTTTTATTAAATAATGTTACAGTCCTTTATGATGAAGCTTCGAATGAATGTATTGGTACATGTACATGTATTATAGGAAATTGTCTGCCAACGTATTGCAGTAGAGCGAGATTTGATATAACAAACAAAAATGATCATTTTACTGAAATATTGAGATGTCTTTTTCTTTTACCTCTGGTCCGCCAAGATAAGATTTTTGCCTTTGTGGGTTTTCTGGTCTGTTAGTTAAAAGTCTAGCAAAAATCTATGGACGGATTTGAATAAATTTCTTTAGATAGGTCGGTCTTAACATTTTGGTGGCATGCAATCTATCAATTATGTAATTAATAATAATGAGACTTAAAAGCTTAATTCCTGGAGCGATTTTCTAGTCCACCATGCTTTTTATTCTACGAAAAAAGAAGAAAATGCCACGGTGACATTTGGAGCGTTTTAATTTCCTCTCATCAACTGCTTCGCATTTATGATACTGACGAGAAATTTCAGACTTAAATTGACATTTAAACAAAATGTGGTCTCATATTTAAGGTGACTCAATGCAGACATAACCTGTCTTGATGATGGATGGATTCGATTATTGTTTATATTCGTTTGTCTTCCTTGCTAATTATTTTTGACGATTGAAGCCGGTGTGAAAAAAAAATGGAAGTCCTGGTAATGGAAGTCCGGGCTCCCATATGATAAGCACAGGTTAGGGTTAGTAGGAGTATTGGGGTTTGTGTATGGGACGAATGTCACCTACATGTATACAAAGTAATGGGGAACGGACTACGGCTCCTCGCGGACTACAATTCCTGTTACACAGGGACTTCCTTAGCAGAATGAAAAATTTGCAGCAATGAGTTTGCAGGAGTTGGCAAGAAAAAAATTCTTGCTGCTACAGTTGTAATTTGCAGCCATATTGTAGCAGATTTGCTGCAAATTCGCAAGAAGGAATTGCAGTATTGCAGCAATATTGCAGCAGTATTGCAGCAGGCCTGATAAGGCCGTTTTAAATCCTCTCATTAATAAGCTGACTGGAATAATATGCCCAAAAATATCCCAACCAAGTGCCCAGCGGAGAAACATTCCCAATATCAAATTAAGAAGATTACCAAGTCACGCTAGCTAGCGGGAAGTGTTTTTCATGCATAACAATATAATTGCTGGATAGAGAACGACAGAGAACGAACGGATGCGCATGACAGCAGCAAAAGGCACTTACTTTTGTTGTTGGTGAACATTTATGTGTTCCCCGGAAAACATTTGCGAAGTGCCTGTCATCACCCGTGGTCTCGTTCTGGTCGCAGTCGCACTGGTTCACGTCAAAAAACGTCAGGTCGATGTCAATGGTTGCCAGACCCCTAAAATAAACAGATTATATTTAATGAGATTAGAATATAAAAATGGTATAGCATATTATTGATTTGATTTGAGGTTGAGACTCTACACATCCCCACATAACAACGGAAGGATTTCATGTATGTTGAAAAAAACCTGCAATCACAACTGTACCGGTACATACGTTTCCCGTATTAAACTTTTTGTGAAAATCTATGGCACGGTTAACGCTTTCTACACCGTTTTGAAGTGCGTTTACAGAAACAGGCCTTCATTAATACACAATTTATAGCACTCTGCACTCCCAGTAATTGTGCTTAACGAAATGATACACCGGATGGACACCCGTTGTGTGAGGTTGATAATCCTCATTAGACTAATAACAATACCGTGGGAGTACACCAACACCCTGGATACCATAGGCGTGTTTTGATTAAAATTATCACGAGCGTCATATTTCAGCAATGCCCAAGGAAGGCACTCCTGTTGTATCCATACCCAGCCTTGATATGCAGGGTGGACATCAGTGTCCAGTGTCATTACTTTAATCAACTGACATGTATAGCATTAAACTCGGAGCACACATGCTATGTGCCGATATGCCATAAATTTCATATTCCCTAAAGTCACCACAAACGTGACAAGATATTAGAGCTAAGATAAAGTGCTAATATTGTACACATTCAGAAGGTGACGGATGAGGGTAGGGGGACAGCACGCGAAACTGATCTACAGAGACAACTTTCCCCTGTCGAACAAATATACAATGTTCACTCTATGCTAGAGGTCAGTTGACTGATATCGCATTAATTCCATGTCAAAATTCTCGCTGGACTCAGCAGAGAATTGCGTAAAGAACTCGCCAGAGACATTTCTGTGGGTATCTAGTGTAAAATCAGTCTGTGGCCAATTGAGAGTTGTGTACTTGTTGTCCAACAGGTCAAAATCACCATGCAATCCTAAAATGTGCGGCATGAAAGCTCAGTAGAGGTTTCAAGATTGCTATTTGTATTCATCATTGAGGGCGTTCGACACGCTATGGTTGTTCACTGTGACAGCAAACGCTTGATTCATTGAATTCATCTTCCTTGCACTGTTTTGAAAATTATCAAGGTTGCTGCGTTCGTGCTTATTGCTTTTATAAATTGGTTGGTGTGCTTAGACGTAAAGTAATTATAAATTTTGATGAATGAGACTAACTGTATCACGGTGTAAAAAAAAATGCCAGGGCCTTATAGGCTGAGGAAATGGATGAGGGGTAGAGGAAATGGATGAGGTGGTGGTGGTGGTGG